TTTTGCTTTGCTAAAATGTCTTATTCTTAGTTAACAAGGGATTTTTTTACCGGTTCTGATTCGTACGGCGAAAATTTGGAAAAATAAAGTTGACGATTGATCCTTGTCTACAGAATAACGAAGACTTAACGTGTTATAGTTGTTTTCACTCAACACGATACCTTTTTATTCAGTCCAGCAATACTTTGTCTACAAACCCGTACAGCATAAGCATAGTGTAGTAAATTTAATTAGTAGGTTGTCGTTAAAACGTCTGTAATATTATTTTGAATTTTCAAATACAATCGTAGATGTTTCAAAGTTTATGTTCTCTGTTCTTATTAAGACTGAGATAGTAAAATTTCAAAAAGTGAGACGTTTATGATGAAAACGGAAGTGTCTAAAGAAGTGATTTTAGCATTAAATTTTTGTTGCTTTTTGACTGTTGATAATGATTTTTCAAAAATCTTACTACCTCTCACTAATTCTTGTTGAAAAATCTTGTTTAGCAAAAAATTCTTTTTCTGTTAAAGAAAAGAAATTTAACGTGCAAATTTTAGACATTATATGACTTTTTCTTGGTTTTTTTTAGTTTTTCTTTCCTGTGCTCTTTTGTTTCGTTAAAAAATTTGCTTTAAAAAACTTTTTTCTTCTCGTTTTTGTCGTGAGACATTGGAAGAAAAAGGAAAAAGTAAATGTTGCTCTCTGTTTTTAGCAACGAGCAGAGCATAAATATTGGCATTTTAACTAAGAGCATGATTGTTTGCGTTATTGTAGAAGCTTTGAAAAATAGTTTCAATAAAATTGTTATAAAATTTCTTTAAATTAATCAAACGACTTTTTTTTAAAGGTTACGAATGAAACCCTTAAAAGACTAAACTATGGAATAGTAACAGCCGTAAATAAAACAGTCATAGCTTTGAATTACCAGAATCGGGATTATTTGCTCGTATACCAGTAAGCAGCTTAAAAAACATCATCTTTTCATACAATAGTTAACATTTATACTCAAAGTGAAACTTTTACAGAAAAAAGATTACTACTTTTGTTTCCAGATTTTAGGTAACTGTTATTGTATTGTTTCAGCGGAGGTAAAATTAAGATTGGCAATGAAGATGGATCCTCAAGCATTTTTGTCAGTGACGGCTTCTTCACCATCGACGAAGACTACGAAATGTTGGCAGAAATTTTAACGGACACAGTTCGCATCCAAAATATAGAGCCTGAACTTTTCAAGAATATACCATTTGGAGAAAGTGTTACGATAAAACTGCAAAAAGCTAAGGACAGCCAACTTGAAATGATAGTAAAATTCCAAAGTTAGTTGAAAATCAGATTCTATATATGGTTATATATATAGTATAGAAAAGAACTTTATTTCAATTCTTTTATTTGCTGCAAATTTCTAAATCTCTTATCGTTTGGGATTTTTTGTTTTATAGCATTTAGGATTAATAGTAAAGTAATCAGACAACGATTGCTGCTTCAGTGCTGATAGCGTATAATAACCCTTAGAGTTTATTTTAGCGTTTGCTTTCTTTTAGATTCAGTTCTACCAGAAAAATCTGAGCCATTGAAATCTATTTTGGAGGCACTGTTGTATCCGTTATATTCGTTCCCATCGAAAAGAGACATGGAAGAATATATATACTCAGGCGGGAATGTAACACTAAAGAGTGGAAAAGTAAGCGGTACAATATTTCTAAACTTATTCAATTTTGCGAAATTAAAAACTGTCTGATACTGTACAGTTCAATTCAAGAAAGATAAAGTTTTTGAAAGAAGCAGCAAGATTTTATTTGATTACATTTTAATAATTCTTTATTGACTAGGAAATTATTTCATTCATAAAAATTGTAAGAGTAATCTTTCTACGGAGCTTTTAGAATTGCACTCAATGCTCATATATGTATTTATTTGGTTAATATCTAAAACCAAAAGCATTTATAACGTTCACTTTTGAAAACTAAAGTATATTGAATTTTTATCAAAAATAGTGTTTTCTTTTGTAAGTTCAAAAGTTTCAGCTGCAACTGTTTGGTACCGATGATTTTACTGAATATCATGGGGGATGGTTTGTTTTTGGCGGACAAGTAATAACTTTACTGTTGGACAAAACGGGTTCGGCTTCTCGTCTTCAAGACGGTTCTTTTACGGTTAGCTTGTTGTTGTGCTTTTTTGCACCTTCTGTCTAACCAGTAAAAAAAATACTGAGAAAGTATATAGAGTCTAAAATTTGTGGTAAAACTAAATAACAATAGAATGACGTTAAGCGCAAACGATTGTGCGGTCAAAATTATGCAGATCTATTTCATAGATTCTTTCTAAACTGAAATTACAAATTTCTTGTTTCAAACCAATTGTAAGAAACTAATTACACTGTTAACCTATTTACAAATTATCAGTCTGTAAAAGTTCTGAGTAGATTGATATCTTTTTTCTTCAATTTTTTAAAGAACAAATTGAAGGTAGAATTTATTGTCTTGTCCAAGAACTATAGAAGATCTTAACAAAAAATTTGAAATTTAGTTTATACTGCTCCAAAAAAAGTAAAGTGAAACTTGGTTAAATTCAACTGGTGTGAGTGTTCCAAAAATGGTGAATTTATTTTTTTCACGTGTCTTACATACCAAATACCAGTTTAGTTCAGATGGTTAGAATCTGGTTTAATATTGTCGACAGAAATGGAATTTTTCTCTGTCTATAAAACTATTAGACTTATAATTGTTCCACCAAAAAACTAATGCACTTTTAACGAGACCTACTACAGGAAGAGTTAACAAGCTATCTCAAAGAGCACTTGAAACTAAAATAGAGACTGAAACTGACCGAGTTATTCAGAATTTGTTAAAGATGGTATCACTTAATTCTTCAAAATGCAATTTAGAGTTGTTGAAAAGTGGTACGAATTTCAACTTGGATTTAGTTTTTGGCCATTTTTCCCCCTTATATCAACAATTTTTTTAAGGCGTTTTTGGATGAAGACGGTAATCTTGCTATAAAAGTTGATGGCGGCAAACTGCAAAGTGCTGATCAAGTTGCACATATTAAAACTGTTATTGAAACAGATGAAAGTTCTGGAGTTGTTGTCAAGGGTGGATATATTATTCGAAATTCCTCTTCTGGATACTTAATTACTGGAGCCGAAATTGCTCCATATGGAGATCTTCAACTCAGCTCTTCAGGTAATAAGCTTAGCTTCTGCTAACCACCTTTATTACTTGCAAAAATTTATCATTTAAGGTTTACAAGATCAAAGTTTATTAAGTTTGGATTCGCAAGATGTAATCGCTCAGATTATGTCTAATTTAATCGCATTTTTGGTAAATAACGGCACTTTACTTACTGAAGAACAGTTAACGGAGGTAAAGCAAAAGTTATTGTTCATTATCTGATTATTTAAATAAAATCTGCTGTAAAAATGAATAAAAATAAAGAGAAAAAAAGCAAATATTTTAGAAATACACTGCTATACGTGGTGGTGTATAAATGTTTATCTGGCCCTATACTCCTTATTCATAAAAAATTTTACAAAATTTTTTTATTTTAAAAATTGCATACGCAAATATTATATGTAGCAGTAAAATAATTTGTCAATTTATGTTACTGAAGTTCAGATTGGCGATGAAATTTTGGAAATTGTCGGTAATTTGGCTAAAAGTTCTTACGATGCAATTATAAATCCTCTTGCAAGTGATCTGGAGAGCGCAATGGCTTATGAAAAAGAAAACTATGATCAGCTGTTCGTCGGTGTTTCTTTTGAAGGAAGTTTGTGTCTTGTTTTGGTTGACTGCATGACAAATTTTGTACCACTAATTGATTACAGTCCATATTGGAAGACCTTCTTTGATTGACATAAAGAATCATTTAAATTTTCTATTTTATTCTATTTGCGATAGTGTTTGAGGAATATAAAATAATTTAGCGCGATATTGAGTTTTTAGTGAACGTCAAATTTTTGTTCTGTTAGCAGTACAGTTTTACATTCATTTGCTACGGTTAACACAACTTTATTGCAGTACATCGATATGCAGATGAGTATACCGAAGAACAATGGGCACAAGAAGCTGCTTCTATATTACAAAAAAAAATGGCAAATTTTTTATCAAAAAATTTTAAATTTTTAAACTTTAAGTGTAAAACAACAAAAAAAAAATTTTTTTTCAGTCAGAACGGTTGACTGGTAATGGTTGCAAATTGGTGAATGCATACGAAGATGCTCTTATGACTTATCATACCGAAGATGGACTCATTCGAGGATCGGCGTTTAAAACGGTTTTTCTACGAATATTTTTTTCCTCACTGACAGTGACAACAATTTTCTTTTTGATTAAGAGACATTTTAAGTTAAATAATTTTACAGAAGAATGGAGTTAGTCTCAAAGTCGCTTACGATTATCCACCAAAGCTTTTTGAAGACGATATGAAATGCGATGATTGGACGGTAACTGTATTTTGCATGGCATAAATCATCTCAGTCTTCAGTCAAATTTTCTTTTTTAAATCTTATTGGTTTGACAATTCTGTTATTGAATTTTTACAAAACCAAAATATTTATTCTTAAAATTTTTACTGGAATTTTATAAAACTGTAACAAAGTGCTTTCCTAACAAAATTAGTTAGTAAAAAATTAGGTTTTAATTACAACATTAAAGTAGAAAAAAAAATTTTGTATTTTTTTTTTCTTTGCATTATTCACTTTTTCTAAAAGTTATGTTGTTTTTTTCTAGATACTGTCGCAAATAATCAACAATACAATTATATTATACCAAAAACGATTTTTGTCTAATCCTCTATTTTTTTCCTTTTACTAATTAATAGCTTATATTTTTTCATAGAAAATATGTACTTTTAAAAATAGGTTGTTTCGGTTTTGGTATTTTCGACAAAAGTGTAACAAGAAGGATTCTGTTTTTAATTTAAATATAAACTAGTTTTTTAAAAAAATTTTTCAAAAATTATCACATTAATTTTTGACGATGCATTGGTGTCATTTGTATCAGCTTACCAATAACAACTGAATCCCAGTCAGCTGAGATGTCAGATAATTGCTACTGTGTTTGCTAAACAGAAAGAAAAAGCAGTAATCTGTTTCTACGTTTCACAGGTATCGTTTCCGCCATCAATGAAAGATCTTGGATTTAGTGAAGCACTTGATAAGACCATGATTCGAGTATCGTTGTTATGTTATAAGGTACAATTTTGTCACTGTTCTGTTCAGTTTTGCCAGTCAAGACACAAATTAAAATTTTAGTCAACTATTTGGTCGACTTTGATGACTGTTGTTGTTTCAAACTAAATTTCAATAAAAATTTCAAATTCTATTATTGAATAATAAAGCAGTAACAGCGCTTTATCAGTTTTTGAAAAATTTGCTGTATATGGCTATTTTTTCAAGCAAAAATACATTTTTTGCACGCAAAATTACCAGAAACTTCATCAGCTTTTTTTTTCTTTTTATCTTCTAAACTTTTATTTTTTCTTTTTTTCAGATATGAATGAATAATAATCGTAATGTTTAAAAAAAAAGATTTTTTTTTGTTCTGCATCAATAAATTTTTTTTGTTTCAGTGCTACTTGTTGTTATTGAAATTAATCATTAGTTTAATAGATAAATTTTGGTGTCAAAAAAAGTTATCTTGAAAAGTTACAATTTTAACACTGTTCTGAAGCACTTGATAAGACCAAATCTGTTAAATCATTCATTAAATTTCTTTTAGGTCAACCCTTATGCCTACATTACCAATTTTCAACCGTTGATAAATTCCGGGGCTTTCGTGATAAATCTAAAAACCAAGGACGGAGCTGAAATTCCGTACGTTTTTTGAAAAGTTTTTTTGTAATTGATTTTATTTATTTACCACATATTCTGAAATACATTTATACAGTATTTTTTCTTAAAAAACTGTATAAATGTGTCTTCTTTTTTCGATAGTTATTTTTTATATATATTCATGTAGTTTTTTTGCTTTTATTCTACAGTTCTTTAAAAGACATATGAAAGGCAGCGTTACGTCTAATATGATTAAGGTCAAATAATGACTTACTTGAATGCTTAGAAAGTTTTATTATTGAAGCTACCGATATTAACCAATAAGTGTTATATAATGAATCAATTGTTAAATATTCATGTTTCAAATTCTTTATCTTTAGTGTCACTAACGCTAAGGAACCGATATTGATAAGACATATCCTAAACAAAAAAGTTGATTCCTCGGCAGCAAACAGTTACTCTCTCGACTATGAAAGTTATCAGGTAATATGCAGGTTTTCAAATTTTTCTAACGAGAATAATTAGTCAAAAAAATCAAATTGTTTTTGATTTCAAACTAACATTGAACATCAAAGTAGATTTTGGATCTGCACACGTTCAGAACGGAAGTTTGGAATAATTCACTACTAATCGAATTTACCAAGAGCTCAAGCAGAGTTTACAACGGGGAAATTTGGCTATTTATGGCATTTCAACGCTTACCGGGTCCACTTCCAGACGATCACGACTGGCGTTTTCTTGTCACCAACCAATATAGTACGCACTGTGAAATAATAGCCAAAAATTTTTCATTTTGGCTTCTACAGTATATATTCATAGTTTTGCCCATACACTGTCTGCTAATGAAATTGACTGCTGAAATGATAATTTAACAACAGAAGAATTTTTTTACAAACAAAAAGCTCTTTTCATATTTTTAAGCAAAATTTTGTCTTTCTTATTGCGTTGCTTACAAATTCCACTATATTTATGGTAAATTTTTTAATTAGCTGCAAAAAGAGGGTTAAATTGTTGAAACCTCATGTTTAAAAAAAAATTTATCAGAACAGTTCAGCACAATTACGATTTAAAGTGCTGGAAAAATAGCGCCAGTTCACAATATATACTCAGATTTGATAAATAAAAATGATAATTACAGGCACCAACAATTTCTTCATTGACAGCACTGAAACTGTTAACAAAACTGGTCTGTTCTTCATTGGTGTTGGATGCGCGTTATTGGCACCTTCAAATGAAACAGAAACTGTTGAATATAGAGTTGGAAATTCACCAGCTAAATATTTCCAACGTAAATTACCAATCTCATATTCGTTAAGAGTCTTAACCAAAGCTTGCTACTACATTGATCAACATTTAAAGGCACCTAGCAGTCATCAAGTAAAGGTCAGTTGATATTACTTCAACCTTTTCAAACATTTGAAGTTTTTGTTTCACAAAGCCTTATGGTAAAACTAAAAACGAGAAAGACATCACTTCAGACAAGAAATTTGATTGGCGACAATGTAATAAGTTGTGCGACAAGGCATCTTACACCATTCTCCGTCGGTGTTACCAGCCCTACCATTCCGAACACTTTCTACTTTCTATACACCGAAAACTCACAACCTGTAAAGTTTATCTGAGGCTTCAAAAGTTCTTGTTTTTCAAAAGTGTTATATGCACATAAACATAATGGAATAATTATAGCTAAAAATTAAGTAGATTTCAAGAAATTTTTTCTTTGTTTGTGCATCTCTATCATTTATGCAATTTCTGGTCGTCTTAATTTGAAGTTTATGAATTTTTTAACTGATATCTTAAAAATCGCATCAATAAAATAAAACCTCAATTATTACCGCTTTTTCTAAGTTTCAGTAGTGTAAATCAGCTGCAAAATGTGTTCTTTTTTTTAGAGAAGCGCTGTAGTTGCGATAGTTTTGATTATGTTCTCTCTTTTCACTGGTCTGGTCGCACTGATTGCTTACGACCACGATAAACTTGACATCTGCAAGGTCAGTAATTGAACTGATTTTTTTACAGTCGATGCTTTTATAACATTACAATAACCAAAAATTTTCAACCTTGCCGCAGGAAAATCGTATGCAAGTCTTCAGTGTTATATGATGCATTTGTTTTTGTGGCTGTAGTTTCTTATTAACTTTTTAATCGTTCTTTTGAGCATTAAGTATTTAGAGTGTAAGCAATAAGATGTTGTTTAATATTATTTCCGTTATTAGTTATGGGAAAAAAAGAATGAAAACATTTGATAAAAATTGTAAAAGTTTCTGAAATTTATACCGTTTTTTTTTTTCACACCGTTACCTGAAGATAAACTTGAGATGGCAAAAAATAAAGTTTTGTCAAGTTTTCATTTTAACTAACAGTAAATTAATGTATCGCAGTGGATACTTCTGGGGAAGTATAAAAACATAATTCAAAATCTAATTTTACTTATTTCAGATTTAATTCTGCTATTTTTTTGCTGTAGACGCCTTAATCAGTCGACAAATTAAAAAATGGAAACACAGTTTCATATTTTTCTAAAACTATTCGATTTGTTTTCCTTTCTCATTTAATTATCCTCTCTTCGTTGATTTCTTTAACCATTATATTAAATAATAAGTTGTTGACTTTGTTTTCAAAAATCTTTTTTGGAACAGGTAATTAAGATAAAAAATTTTTTTGTTGCTCAAATATAGTAATTCTGATTATTGTCATATAAAACAAAGCAGATAAGGTGTCTTTTAAAAAATTACTTGCGTTTTATGGTACCTAAAAAGTAAAGCAATTTAGTTTGAGAATTTTGTGTAAACAATTTTAGAAACTTTGATAAAACATCAACAAGATTGTCTCGTTATTTTTAACCTCTTTTACCTCACTCTTAATTGTATCTAGTATCTCGTTAATATCGTTATGCTTCACTGCCAACAATTATACTACTATACTGCATCTCAGTTCTCAAAAACTGAAAAAAATTATACACTGTACACTTAGTCTATCAACGTACTCACGAATAGTTTGATTTCAGGGAAGAATGCGATTTATGGAAGACAATGGTTACAACACTTATTTCTACATTGTAGCCGTTCAAACCGGATATTGTATGTTCGCTACAACAAATTCTAACGTTCGTTATTTGCTTTGTAAAATCAGGATTCTCATTCAGCTTTGAAAACAACAGATTAAGGGTTTACAAACATTGTCAAGTATTTGGTACTAATTGTCAGTTCTCTATGACTTGGATAATGTGAAACCTACGAGCACCATCAAAAAACAGAAAAATTTTCAGGTTTTTATGAATGTTCTTGGTACTCGTGGATCAACTCTTGCCCGGAAACTAAAAGGAAAATCTAATATGGGAAGCCAGTTTAAATGGGGAACAACAGAACGATTTGTTATGGCAACAAATGAGTTAAAATTTAACATTAAATTGACACAAATTTAATTAACCTAAAAATGCTACAACGTTTTGCAAACTGACCATTTAGAAGTTACAGAAATATAAATCAGTATTGAGAACCAATGCATCATGGGCCTTTTGGAAGACTAGTTTTCTAAGTTAATATTAAAAACTGTAGTTACTGTAAAGCAAAGTTGAAACAAAAAAGGTATTAAATTATAAATTATTTAATGATTTTGTTGTCGAGAAAAATCATTATTTGCTTTTCATTCAAACGACTAAAACTTAAGGTTGGTGTTATCGCTTAGTTGCGGGGACAATTTAACGGTTAGAAAGCAGTAAGTTCATGCAAAAACTCTAAGATTTCTGCTAATAACTAGGCATTTTAGAGATAAGTGTAGCTAAAAAACACTTCAAATAAGGTAATAAGAAATTTATAAGTTGTTTTACAATCTAAATAAGTAACGATCTGTCAGAACAACAGCTTTTGTTACGCTTGTAGCTTTCTTAGGTGGTTGGCATGTAAATGACTTTCTGACCTCGTATAAAGTGGAAATAAAATGTGCATATTGTGTTACAGCAACAACTGTAACTTTCTTAACCGTGATATGTTGATTACCCTAACTTTTTACTTTTTGAATATTCTTAACGAAAGTTCTTCTGACAACTTGATAAACCTCTGAATAAGTAACCGGCTACAGAAGTTCGTGCAGTGAAAGACTAGTCGTACAAAGATTGTAAGACCGTGCACTCTCTGACGAAAATAGTACTTGAATGTATTCTAGTCTAAAGCGTTAGCGATAACTAGAAGAAAAGATGATTTTGCATACTGGTGGAGTTAGTAAGAGGTGTTTAAAGAAAAGTTGCACTGAATTGGGATGCTGGAGGTTTCCAACGCAAAATGTTATTTCCAAATTTTTCCCTTACCGAGTATCAACTGTTTTATGCATAAGGAAACACTTAAAAGAAAAATAAGTGGTAGAAAGAGGTTCTGTTTGAAAATTCCGTAGTGAATCGTGTAAGACTCATTTTCGTTCGTCACTCGTTTATATGTACCTTAGCCGTTAAGGAGCTTCTGATGGCAACGCGTCAACGCATAAAGTTTTCTTTTTCTTTTAGAACACTATAGATACAGCTAGTGAAAACTGCAACTACATTTAATCATAATAAATTCCATGTGTTAAATTTGAAAGGGGAAAAAGCTAATGCTGAGAATTCTATTCGATAAAAAAAAAATTTTCAAATACAACATTTTGAACACTATTGGAGACAAGACTGTTTATTTATTCTCATTGGTTTTTTGAAGAAGCTTGGGTGATTTGAAAAAAGTCCGAATTTGGATAGACGAAAGTGGTTTATCGCATCGACAGTCCTGGTTCTGCGATACGATTGTTTTCAAAGATCTGCAAACGGGCTCTATTTACACCTTTGAAGTAAAAAATTGGTTTGGAATGCAAAATGGAGATGGTCAGGTGAATTCTTCATGTTTTTTTGTTAAAAAAAAACGTAGGACATAATTGGTGCCTTTTATGTTCAGAGTGAACGGCTTGTTGAAATCGGAAAAGAAACTGTATATAGTCGTTTCAAGACATCACTTGCCATGCATTCGTTGGCTGAACACTTAACCTACTGGAACATGTTTACAGGTTAGTTTTCTAGCAAGTGTATTGCAATATGCAGGGAAATAGAATCTCTGATCGATAAATTTTTATAGAGACACTGTTTTGACCTTTCGTTAATAGTAACTGCAAGTTTACAATAATTTTACGTTACTCTACAAACATTTCACGTATACTTCAAGCCAGTTGAAACAGAATACTTTTTTGATTCGAAGTACTTTATAAATTTAAAAAATCAACATTAACTTCTTCAAGACCGTAAACTTTGAACAGATAACGTCACCCTAGGATAATTGTTGGTAATGAAAACTTTTCTATGGAAATACACAAGTTAAGGTGGTGGATTAAGAACTCGTTGGAGGTTCACTCGTCTTGAACGTGTTTGCAATTTTTATTTGGGTATTTCAATAGCTTTACTGGCGAATATGTTGATCGCTCGTCTACTGTCGCATTTTGAAACTCGCGCTAGTTTCTTTGCTATATATGGCTATAACTTTACACTGTCAGATGTGAGAAAAAACCTCAGATTTTTTTTTCCAATAATTTTGTATTATCCAGACAGCTCTGATTACACCTCATGACCAATTCTTGACTAAGAAAATTTACTGTTGCAGTTACTAACTGTAATACTTTAGCTAAAAATTATTTTTCCAGCTATGGTTGGCCTTTCTGTGTTCTTTAATTTGTGTCCCAACCACTATACTTGTTCCAATTTTACACAGGTATTTTTTAATTATTATTCTGCGTGTTTTAAAAAATTTTTTTTGATTACTATCTCAAATTATGGTTACAGAAGATTTAATAATCAACTTAAATAGTTTGATAGACTACAAGTCAGAAGAACTTCATGTAGTATTAGTTGCAAGGCGATTGCTATAGCCTTCTAGACTATACATTACAGTAGCTTGAAAAAAATACGGTGCTACTGGGGTAGACGAATTAATAAAACTAGTGGTACTAAAGAACTATTTTAGCTACATCCCAGCAGTCCACAAAGCAAAAGAAAAAAGCCAAGAATATTGGCAGTGGTCGAAACGGAATCGTGATGGAACACTAAAATTCAAAGACCGTGTAATTCGGTTTGTCAAGGGAATTGAATTCCTTATAGGACTGGCATGTACCATATGCGTTTTGCATATGGGTTTTGAAGCCACGCAAGAGCAGTCAATGGCATTTACCCGAAGATTTCTCATTATGATTTTATTCTGGGTTGTATTTATAGAACCTATTAAGGTTTCATTTTTTGCATTCAAGTAATAGCATTTAAAATATTATTTTTTTCAAAAACTGAGAACCATTTGAAAATAGTTTTATAAGGAATATTAAAAAAGCAGAAAATGCCTTTTTAAAGACTTTGCTGGGGAAAGACACTCGCAATGTAGTTCTCTAACGTGTTCCTTAACTCTTCGCTTTCCTTATACGAGATTAATTTTCAAGCCTGCCGCTGTCTTTCCTATTATCCAAAAAAAAATTTGTTTACCACCTCTTGTTCATTCTGAAACATTTTTACCTCTTCCAACTAGAGTAAAGGGCTGTACTTCTCTCTTTGCCCTTGTTTTCAGACGGCCATTATCTCTTTTTCCTTCTTGCCTCCTAGGTCAAAAGAAAGAGCAATAGATGCCGGTGATTGTAGGCAATAAGCTTTTGAAAATTAGCTTTTGGTGACCCATTTTTTCCATTTTCTTTTCTCAACCTCTGTCATCGAATAAATGTCCACCAACTTGTTAAAGATAACTAGAACAACTAGTTACTTCTTGAAGTCACTGTGCTTTTCGACAGAGTGAATAAGGAATTATGACTTTAGAACCAAAAAAATTAAACTTCTTTCGTTTTGCCTTTGTTTTCTTGTATTCTTTCAACCCTCGGTCTCTTTTTTTTTTTGCTGTTATAGGCATTTCTGAAAAGTTCTTTTTCGTTTGAAAGCAGGGGGAAGCTGCAAAGCGTGAGAGCGTAAAAACTTTCTTCGAAGAACTATATCTGAAATAGCTATTTTTACGAAACAGCAACAAAAATTGTTTTACTACAGTATCCAATATGTTTTGTGCCTAAGCAAGTGCAATTTAGGCTGCATTTTGTTCTCTATTTGTTACTTTCTGTCGGAAAAACTACTGCTTGATTCAAAATTACGAAATGGAAGGTATAACGAAGTTAAAAGAAAATATGGATGCAAGAAAAATAGCAGAACCAACCGAAGAAGGTAATTTTACTAGAATTGAAGCTTTTGCTGTTTTGTCGGTTACTATATTTGTACTTTAGCAACTCACGGTAAATCTATTACGCCGTAATTTAGGGTACAATTACAGTTTATATAGTTTACAAATTACAAACATGTTTTGAAAAATACATAAAAATACCAATAAGAAAAATAGAACAATTCTTGGTCTTCTCAAGCGTATTCAGAAGAAATAAATCAAATCTTCCTTTATTTACTTTTCAGAACACCGCAATTTTACAAGAGAAACAGAAACAGGGCGAAAACTACCCTTGCTTCACAAGTCTTATGAGATAAGAGAAAGGCGAATGCGCGATGAGCAACTGTAGGTCATCTTCAGAAAATTTTTTGGTGTTTTCAGTATTTTTTTAAGAATTAAAAATAGTCCTATTACAACTGTTAGTAATTCTTACTGCAAAACTACAGGTCACTGTGAAACAATTGTCCTTACCGTTAGATAAGTTACGTTGATTGGTCAATTTCAATCAATTATCAGAGTTGCCAGTAATAATTCGAGTCTCAACGTGTAATATGGAAGGGTGAGGAGATAGAAAAGAGAAAGGATTGCTGCTTTTCATAAAAACAGTTTGAGTCACTGATTCTCTCAGTTTTTCGCACACTGAGTTTTCCATAAGTTGCCTGTCGCCTTTGGAATTTCACGAACATTGTCTTTTCGCACCTGTTTATTCCAGTTTTAGTTTAGTATTATGTGAAACGAGCAAATACTGATTATGATAAATTACTCTGAGAAGAGAATTAACAAATTTTGAAAAAATTTTCATGACTGTTACTGAACTAAAATATGTAAAACAAAAAATTTTTCAACTCGAATATATTGGAGGATTAAAGTGGACTTAACGATTAACTTCCAAATTTTTCACACAATAACTAAAAAAATCAAAATGGATCTCTAGTAAGCTACCAACAGTTCAGAGGAAACTATACTTTAGTAAAATGCATAGGAATTAATATCATCTTCTTTTTAGAACCTAATTCTGTTGACTTTCAAGAATAATTTTTATAGACAAGCAGGATACTAAGCTCTGAGTCTTTCATATTAAACATTATAAAGGAAGGCAGACACAAGAAAAAACCTTATTAGTTAGTACCAAAATTTTTTTTAGGTTTGTAACTCTTTGGGAAATTATTGGATTTTTCGTCTCTCTTATTATTTGTTTGGGTCTCGCCACTTATAGTAAAGATTCGGCAGCATACAATTTTCAAAATCAGGTGGACTAATTGTTGACTTCTCTTATTACCAAAATTTTTTCTGAACATCGTAAAGTAACACTTCCCCACGGTGATTTACAATCTTAATTTAGCTAATTTCAACATATTTTTTTTCAATGCTGATTCCAGTGACGATGTGAATTATATATAAGTTGTAGTTACGCAACCTTCTCAAAATCGAGTGCGTAACGCAGGGAGAAAGCTGTTTTTCGGGCATTACAAGAGAAACTGAATTTTGGAATTATATGAAGAAAGTTTTTGTGGAAGGTTTCTTTCCATGTTTTTTTTCCTTTAATGAATTTGAATTAAGCTAGAGGTTAGAATTTGTCAAAGGTTTTCTAGAAATATAAAGGGCTAGAAATCTGAGCTAAAGTTTGTTTTCTTTTTTTTTTTTTTTATAAGCAGAATGCTTGGTTCACTCATAAAATAGTAAACAAGCAAATGTCAGTTGTGTTTGTCACTTGTTACTGCACTGAATTTTTAACGATCAAAAAATTGTTTTAGAGTAAATTTTTTGCTTAAACTAGGTATTAGTTTTTTTCTTTGTAATAGAGACGTTTTTTGGTAGCTAATAACATCGCTGCTAGTAGGATGACAGCACCATATATGTTTTATAATTTCAATTCAAAATAAACTTAAATTGCAGCATATCAGGTGAGTTGGTACGATGGTAAGACTGCTCGAGGAATGTCTGGATTTATTAACGACAAAGTATGCTAAGTTTCTTCAACAAAAATAGCAGGGATCAACAACTTGTGCACTAAAGTAAATTTCTGCAAACTTTTCATGATTCAGGCTTCGCGAAATATGGGTTATGGCATTTTAAGACAAGTTCGTTCTAAGAAGAATATCAACTGTGGATCTGCTGAAATTATACCAAGAAACGAGTGTAGAGGCTACACTGGAATAAAGTTAAAATAAAACCTTTATAAATTCTACTATACTATCAACTTTATCACGTATTTTGCATCTATTGAAACGCTTTTGCTAAACAATGATACTTATTAACCGCTATTTATTTATTTTAAAACGAGGACTAGATGTTATCTTCAGTGAAACTTTCAAACGTTTTAGCATCTCAACAGAACGTTATTTTAAGATACGAAGATAGAACTTCAGCTTACGATGCATCGTGGAGTGAACCTGTAGCTAAGGCTAATGCTAAATACGAGTACATCTACAGAACCCAAGAAGAACTTTCAGGTTAGCCATCAATAAAAAATTCGTGCACTAGTCTTAAACTTTGCTGAGAAAATTATTCAAATGTAGAAGTAGACAAAAAGCGAATAATATCTGCTGTCACTTTTCTTACAAAATTAAGACAAATAATCTATTCTCAGGGTCGACTTATCAAGGAAATCTCGACACCTATTCGGGAGGTGGTTACGTAATGACGCTAAATGGTTCTAAGTCTTCTATTCAGGAGAAATTTCAATATTTACAAAACAGTCGCTGGATTGACGAGAATACCAGAGCACTGTTTATTGAATTTTCAATTTACAATGCGCAAATCAACTATTTTGCTGTCATACAATTGATTGTTGAGATACCACCTACCGGTAAGCAACTTCTGGCAGAGAATATTAATACAGTTATAGATAAGACTGCCGCTGCTGTCAGTGAAACCGTTATTTCAGGAGCGTTCTTCCCTACAGCTTCAATTCAAGCTGTTCGTCTAATCAAATATATTGATTCTGAGGGTACCATAGTCATGGCATTTGAAATCCTTTACGTAATCTTCTGCCTAGTCTTCCTGTTTAAAGAAGTCTACCAAATCTTGACTAGAGGAATTCTGTAAGATCTCCATATTCTCTTCAGCAAACAGATTCTGTGTTTTGGTTTAATAAAAACTGGTCACTAGTTTTTGGTTACAAGGTTACAATTTTGATGTAAAATACAACTTATTATTATTTAAGGCAGTATCTTAAGTCTTTTTGGAAAATGTCAGATATTGCAATTGTTGTAATGTCAATCTGTTCGCTGCTTGCATACTGGTCAAGACTTGTAGCAGTCAACAAAGTAAGTCGTTGTACCCATTATACGGCTAAATTCTCTGTTAACTTAAGCCTTAGTGTCCAGTAAAAAACATTACTTTTATTACAGGTTTCTGAAAACTTCTTGGCCACGAATGGGAACGCATATGTTCGGTTAGACAATGAACAAAATTTAGAACTACGGTTTCTCAGTTTTATGGCGGTTGTCGTATTCTTGATCTGCATCAAAATGATTTATATTCTAAGGTAAAAAATAATCTTAGTAAACTTCACAACTTCTTTTCCTATTCTTTAAAAAACATCCTTACATTTTCAGTTCACTTGCATAGTCACTGTTTTCTTTTCTTTTTCAGAGTAGGATTGGACCAAAGATAAAAAATCGTAATAATTTGAAAGCAGTTTCAAATTTAAATAATGTTAACAGCTCTCAGTTAAATAAGTAATTCATAATGATCCTTGTGTAACAGATTCAACCGTCGTATTGGTGTTTTTGCTTCGACACTTTCACGCTCTTTCCAAACAATGGTGATATTTGGAGTAATTTTCCTGCTTGTCAATCTCGCTTTTGGTACTTCCTTGTACGTCATTTTGGTAACACAACTGGAATCCTATCGAGGCCCAATAACTGTTCTTCAAACCGGAATTATCTCACTGCTCGGAAAAGTGTCTGCAGTGGATGTCATATCAGCAAGTTCATTTGGTAAACTTAATTCACACCATCTGTTTTGCATTTTAGAACGATGTAGGATTCATACAGCAACAGTGTAGGCACCTCAACTGAACTGCAAGATGTGGCCAACTGAAGCACAATTGTGACTCCTTTTTTGGTCCTGATACATCAAAAATCCTCCACTTTTTATCAAAAATTGTTCTAAACAGCAGAGACTCATTTACTTGATTTGAGGATCCGTGGTCTACCTTATTTTTATGCTAGTCGGTACCATTGGTTTATTAAATATTTTTGTGATGATGATTATGTATAAGTTCGAGGAAGTGCGAGCTGATCCAAAAAACCAAACTAACGACTATGAAGTAATGAGCCACATCGAAACAAAGGTTCTGCCCTTCATTTGAAACCATTTTTAACACTGTTATTCAACATCATGAAAACACTTTCCACATAATTTTCCACACCCACCTGTGTTAGTTTGAATCAGTTATAGAACGGCGTATATAGTTCTGACATTAATTTAGATTTTGAAAATGTTCAACAGGCTAAAACGACATCATGAACCAAATCTGGGTTGCCCGGATCGATTACACACCACTTATGTCTGTGACATAATACAAGCGAAGGTAAATAAGCGGTATTCTTCTGTCCAGAATGACACTTAAGCATACTGTTAACATCAAGTACACAAACTATTTGTCCGTTGATTATACTGACAATTAGTTTCTGATGATAATTCCACTAGAATTCAGGGTTCTATCTGTGTTTTTCATGCGTTAATTTAGACATAAATCAAATGTTGTATTAGAAGGTATTCTAAAAGTGAGAAGAAAATAAATGCAACAATTGCCAAAAATAGAAAACTTCGACACCCTAAGTATTAATATTAATATATTTCTTGTTCTTTATTTCCAGTACTTATGGCATTATATATTCTGCTGTTGGATATAAGCTGAATTGAAAGGAACTGAAAAAGAAAAAGAAAGAAAAAAACAGATAAAATTAATGTAGATAAGCTATAAATTTTCGTAAAAATAATAAAATAAGTAAAAAATATGTTGTCCGATTGTCGTTATCGTAAATTCCAGCCAGGTTTTTAATACTAAAAAAGGATTCGCAAAATAAACGGGAATTTAAGATCAAAAGCAGCAACATCAACAAAAATAATAATAAAAGTAACAATAACAATAAAAATAACGATAAGCAAAATTAATAAAACAAAGAAGCGAACAGATAGATTGGCATCTGACCTGTTGTTACGATTTCAAATAATGATTTGGCCAAAATTTTCAGTAAATTTTTCCAGTTTCCAAATATAAACTTTATCTCTGCCGATATTTCAGACTGTTCTTTTAACACATTCAGTGGAAGAATTGTCGTGTTTCCTGCCCCGATACTTCAGGGAACACGACGAGCTGGAGAACAGCAAGAAGACCCAGTGATGGCGATATACAGCTCGGTGGTATTGCCAAAGCCATAACTCGACCAGCTAAGGAAATTTTTCTCAGTTAAAATAAGCCTAAGCTTCAAATCCACTGGCTACTGCTTTTTAAGAAATAAAAAATACGACCGACCACCGGTTCTCAGCGTATCTTGAGCGCTTTAGATACTGATATCATTACATTGATTGCATTCGGTAGATTTGCACCCTATGGCTATGTTTAGCTGTTGTTTATGCAACTGTTCAAATTTTCAAACATTGAATGCTACTGTTACTATTGCTGTTTTATATCCAACACTTAATTATATGACAACTGAATACAGTAGGCTTTTCTTCTGTTTTTATAATAGAAATTAAGTATGAAAATAAAGAGTTCAGGAGGAAAATGAAAGTTATAAGAATAAAAAAAAAAAAATTTTTTTTTGATACACTGCAGTTTTTGAGGAAATGTATGTTATAGCATCTTCACTCCGTTTTTACCATTTTTGTGCTCATTTTTATGCACTGCCGTTCCATATTTCACTCATCGTACTGACAATGGAGTAGCGAAACTTTCGCCGCAAAAAATGGTTAATAATAGACGCCGTTATTAGTTTGGCAAAAATTGGATTGCAAAATAACAGCAAGTCGCCTAAACGTTTCTAAAAATAAAACTTACCCAATAAAAGATGTTACAGGCTTCAAGCACTACGACAAAATAGGTTTTTCTGTCATAGCGGATCAACAACCATTTTTCCTTCGGCTGTTCGTTTTCAGCCTAAAATAGGAGATCAGCAAGACAGAAAATAAGAAGTACTTATCTATCAGTAGCGAACTGTAGATGAAAAAAAAAAAAAAAAAAACAAAAAACAAAAAACAAGTCTGCTATCAATAAGAAACTGTTTAATTAAGCCTTCACCACTCCGTTAACCGCCTCTCTATTCTTTCCCCTAATAGTCATCTAATCCCATCTTCTCTTTTAATCTACCCATAAAATGACAATTAACAAAGAGAACTGCTTGAATTAACAAAGTATTAAAGAGGAGCCAAAAAAGTAGTTAATTTGCAGCATAACAGCTTCGATGAAACAAAAGGCAAAAAGCATGAAAAAGAAACGGAAAAAAACTGGAAGAAAAATTTTTCTCACCGGCACCACCATCACAAAACAGATTTGTTCAAAAATTTTTTTGAAGCGGATTTTTCAACAAAATTAACCACAGCTAAAATACACAGACAAAAAAAAAAAAAAAAAGTTGTTGCCCATCATTTAATATGGCTGTTATGTTGTTGTTTGAGAAAAAAAAAAGAAACAATTTTTTTTCGCTTTGCAACTTTTGTTTTTGACAAACATTAAGAAAAAAAAAGCAAAGAAAATAAATCATGAAAAACAACGAAAAAGTGTGCAAAAAAAAAACAAAAAAAAAAATGCTTTTAAGTATGGTTATAATCCAGTTTTTTTTTCAATCTTCAATTCTTTTGTAACCCCCGTAGCTCTATAATTTTTTGTTGTTTCTTTCT